AAATTGTGGCTTTCTTTGCTCTGGTGCCCTAGGGCTGAAATTGCATTTCCAGTTCAGAAACAAGCCATTTCAGGAGCTGGGCTCTTTTGAGGATTCCTTTTCCTGGCTGGGCTTGTGGAGGAAACAGTTTTTCTAAAAGGCTGAAAGGTGTGGAGGAGGTGGGTTATTTTCTCTCTGGAGTTGGTGTGAGTTTGAGCCAGAAAAGCTGATAAAAGCCCCTAAGAAGGGCACAAGAAGCCACCTCCCTGCTCCCTGGAGCCTCACAAGGTTCTCTAAAGACCACCTGAGCCCCCTCATTCTGTACGTAACAGGTTAGCGCTTCTGTCTCCCACAGCGACAGTGACTTTGGAGCCTGTGGCCTCCTGGAGGCTGGTCTGGATGGGGCGGACTTGAGGGGCCATGGTCCTCTGAGGGACACCGACCGCTACGTGGGGAGAAGTAAAGGCAGCTGATTGAGCGCCCACTACGTGCCAGGGCACAGCGTTACCCATTTCACAGGTAAGAATACTGAGGCTCAAAACCCAAATGCCTTGCTGGAACGTGGCAGAGCTGGGTTCGAGCCCAGGTGGGTCATACTTCCCTGCTCAGTGTTCTCACAATGAACAAGCTGCTTCTCCCAGCAGAAGACCAGGGAGCTGAATTCATTTATCTCGCTGGGTGGGGGCTGGGTGGGCTGCAGATTTTGTGGATTTTGGCTTCTGTGACAGCCACTATCTCTTCTTTGTTCTTGAATTTGGATAATTAATTTTGCAGCAAAGAGAGAAGGATCCATTTTGCTTTATTGTCATTTGCTCAGAACGAGTCCACACGACCAAAATGTGAACTCACACAGCCCAGGTAGTGAAGTCATCCAGGTCTCAGCCTGCCCAGATTTCCCCCAGCAGGTCCCCTAGCCCACCCACAAACCTCCCTGGGCTGCAGGCCCCAAGGATCCTCTGCAGACCCCAGTGGCATCTGTCCTTCAGACTCAAGGCCACCTCCTCCAGCTGGAAGGCTGCCACGTGCTCAGCAGGCACCAGCACTCCCTGCTGCCCACAGGTCTGGTTTCTACCAGGACGTGAACTCCTGGAGAGGAGGGATGGGGTCTCACTCCACCCAGAGCCCGCACAGCTCCCAGGATGACAACCGATGCAGAGCCTTAGGTGACTGGGCCTCCATCACCTCCAAACTCACCCAGGGCTCCTGCTGCCAAAGCACTGCTTCCTCGCATGGGTTATCACAATGCGTCCCCAGGGACTGACCGGAGGCTGCACCCCACTCACCTACCCAGGCTTGGCTCCCGTGTCCCGGGGTGTCCTTTCTCCTCCTGACTTCCGGCTGCAGTCTTCTCCCAGCTCCTCGTCCCCCTCCAAGGAGAGGCCCAAGGCCTTCCCCCACCCTCTACTGCCCTGCACAAGTCTGGCTGCTCCCTCAACTCCCAGGGCTCCAAAGGCCATCTCTGGGCTGTAGGCTCTAACCTAAGTCCCACCCCACCCCCAGCCTTCCTCCAGGAGCTCCAGACACCCCTGCCCAGCATGGCCCACAAGCCTCACCTGGAGAGGCTACGGACTGCTCACCTCCTTCCCCCCATGCCAGTCCCTGCCTCTGTGCTCCACATCAAAGCAAAAGACCATCATCAACCTGGTCATCCCAGCCCTCCCTCCCCTCAAACCCCACTTCCAGATGGTCACTGGCCCCACCCAATGGTCCTAGCCATGTCCTGTCCTTGGTCTGCTGCCTGGTCCCCCTGCAATGATGCTCTTTCCCTCAAATTCCACCTGCTGCTGGGCAACCTTTCCAAATACACCCCTCATCTATGTCACTCTTTCCTTCAAAATAAAATCCAGGAAGTCTAGCATAAGCTTCAACCTCTTTACTGTGAAACGGCAACAGAAGCAGATAACATCTATTGAGCACTCGCTATGTGCAAAGTACCATTCTAAGTGCTTGACAAATATTAACTCATTTAATCTTCACAATGCTACTATCTCCATTTTATAGGCAAGGAAACAGAGGCACAGAGAGGTTCATTAACTTGCCCAAGGTCACACAGACTCCCGGTGGCTGAGCTGGGATTTGACCCAGATATCCTGGCTCTAGAGCCCACACTCTTAACCTGTACCCAACTGCCTGGAACCCAGTGCAATTCACGATCTAATCACTAAGCCAGACCCCACTTCCCTGACACCCTCTGTTCCAGACCCCACCCCCGATGCCAGGCTCTGCCCCTGAACCTCACACACCTCTGCCCGTGCCATCCCCTCCCCCACCACTCTCAGAGGCTCCTTCTGGGACAGCACAGCTTTACCGTCACAGTCACAGGGTGCATCTGTCTGCTTTTCAGAGCCGTGTTCCTGGCGAGGGGCTGGCCCAGAGCAGGGGCTCCGAATCGTGGCAACGATGTCAGTGGCCAGGCATAGCAGGTGGAGCACAGGCACACTGGTCAGGAAGCTGTGGTGCCAATCCCAGCTCTGTGACCTTAGGCCAGTCATGAATCTCACTGGGCCTCAGTTTCCCCATCCATAAAACAAGGGACTTGGAATCAATAATCTCCAAAGATCTTCACCTCTGTTGGCCAGAAGATGCTGTGGATTTTTATCTAAGATCTTTGCCCCTGAATTATTGTAAAATATATTCCTACCTACAATTTTTCAGCTGGAAGGTGAATATATTCACATTTACAGCTGACAGGGAGGAAGTATTACCTCAGTGCTATTGTTTTTATTGCTCCAAAAATGGGGAAAACACAACCCGACCTTTACAGCAACAATGATGGTTTGGTTTCCCCAAAAGGCTCTTGTGCAGTTACTTCAACTGTGGATGTCCCCATCACAGACCCTGACACCAGGAAGCCCTTCTCATCAATGTGCAGCACAGGAACCTTCTCGGGCCCATCCAGGACATGGTAGCTCAGAGAGGCCACACCATCCCCACAGAAAATGAAGCAAACCTGTTTTTCACACATGGTGGTGGCAAGGGCCCGGGTACAAGGCCAGAAGACCCAGCGGTCTGTGGTTCCCCGTAGCTCCTGGGAGGAGAAGAAAGCCCAGCCTTGGCCCCACCATGCCTGAAGACCATGTGCCGTCAGCTCTCTGCAGCCTGCTCAGTCACCCAGGGAAAAGTAATTCAGAAAACTACCGGTCCAGGACATGGAGGCTCCTCATGCTTCCGAACAAGCACTTGCTGCAGGTCGTCCAGCAGGGAAGGAGGGACCGTGAGGGCCAAGTTTTTTTCCTCAGTTACACGGCACCTTTGTTATAAAAGACTGTTTCTGTGGCGCACTGTTTTCCGTTTACTGAATCGAGGCAGCCCGGAGTACCAGAGAGGACGGGTTTCAGTCAGATGGAGGCCAAGGCCAGGCCCAACACTCCATGTCAACGGCACCATGCACATCTGTGTCTCCTCTGGCCAGGTGCCGTGGCTAACACCTGTAGTCCCAGTGTCTACAGGTATCTCCTCTCTGGGACATGGTTTCCTCAGGCATAAAAAGGGAGCTCAGTAGGGTTTAGAATGGGCCACTCGCTAAGAAAAGGGTTGTAAACCACTGCTGCTGAACATCACAGAGAACATCATGAACATCATGGATTTTCATGAGCATCACAGAGAAACACAGGAGGAAAGGCCTCCAGCTCCCAGGGCCAGCCCCCCTCACCTCTCTCTGACCAAGCCCTATAGACCCTCTCTGGACAATTTTAAGCAAGTGGTGTTGCCTCTGCCTTGACTTTTTCCCCACCCTCAACCCCCTCCACTTACCCTGAGGAACAGCTATCCATCCTTCAGACCCCTAGCTCAGTTGCTCCATCTGGAATGTGCCTCCCCTAAATCCTCACGGGGAGCGCCCTTCATACAGCTCTAGCTTAAACATCACACCTCGCTCTCTTGCGGTGCTTCTCACGCTCTCCTCCTGCAGGGCACCCTGTGTCATTCACCTCTGTGTTCCAGGAGCCTAGCACGGAGCCTGGCACTTAGTTAGTTTTGGTTAAACGATCGCTGTGTGTGTGTGTGCGTGTGTGTGTGTGTGTGTGTGTGTGTGTGTGTGTGTTGCAAGTCATCCTAACAAAAGGCATTCCCTTTGAATCACCTGTAGGAATCCTGTTTGCAGACATGGTTTAACACAGTGCTTCCCAATCACTACCGTGCACCCCATAGCCCGGGGATCTTGTCAGAGCGCAGCTGCCCTGGGCAGGCCTGGGCTGGGGCCTGAGAGTGGCATTTCCATCCTCCCAGGTTATGCTGACATGGCTGGCACACAGACTACATTTTCAGTGGCAAAAGTTGGAAACACTGGGGTGTTTGGAAAATTCAACACTTCCAAATTGGTACTTTTGCCCATTTTAAATACCAAAGTCAATGGCTAGCATGAAAACATTTCTAGGCTGCAGGGAGGAAAAAGGCACCCACGGGTTGGAGAAATATAGAGGAGCCAAGGAGTCCACAGCAAAGAGAAGGACGCAGAGGCCACCCCCTCTCCAAGCACATCACCAACAACCATTCCCTTAAAGCCCTGACGGCTCCCGGAAGCTGTGACACTTGCATCACTGGATGCAAGCGCAGTGTCACAGCCTTGCTGAGTGTGAGACCTGAGTTACACACCTGTTTGTCTGGAGCTTCATAAATCAATTGGGGGGACATTAAGATTTGTTCTGCTTCTATTTCAGGATTGAGCAGCAGCAGCTTCTCAAACGCCTGGAAGAGAGGGCAGGTTTATCTCCTGTGTGCACTGCAGGCACGTCTAGGCCAGGTGTCTGCTTCTCCCCTAGCAGCGAGAGCCTGGGGGAGCAGAGATGAGGAAAGGAGCCTTCTCACCTGCCAGGTGGCTGGCGACATGAGGAGAAGGGCTGACCTCTGCAGAGGCCACAGGAGTGAAGAGAAGGCTCACGTCTGTGCAGGCAGGCTCAAGTCTGTGCACCACAGGTGGGAGCTGCTTCAGGGAGCCTAACGCTGGCCCCTCCCTCCATTCCCAGTTAGAGAGAGCCTCACCTGCCAGGCCCTGTGCTGGGGCAGCATGCAGAACCACAGGGCCCAGGGCTTCTCCCAGGTGTTGCTCTGCCAGGACTGAGCCTGGGGGAGGCACCACCTACACTCTCCTTTCTCTAACGGAGATACCCTGCTCCTCACTGCCACTGTCTCAGAACTACCCCTCCCACCGCCTTGGCCCTCCCTGGCTCTCTCTGTCCCAAGACACTCTTGCAGGCTCCACATGACCACTCACAGGGCTGTGGGTGACCTCAGTGTGCACAGAGGTTAACCCTCATAACATCACATCTGAGCCGTCACTCCCAGCTGCCCCAAGGCCCTCAGAGCCCACGGTGGCAGCACTTTCCTGGAAATTCCAAACCTGGTTTGCGGGCCCTGGCCACTTCCTGTCACCAGGCCCGCGCCACTCAGGGCCGCGCACAATAGCGAAAAGTCCAAGGAAGCGCTTTGCCCGACCCTACTTTTCCAGTTCCCGGAGCAGCCCGCTGCGGCTCCCCGCCTCTCCAACTCCCCCCCACCACCACCAAGGACACTGGCGCCGGGTGCTCCGCGGCGCAGTCCTGGGGGTACTCAGTCGCCCATCCCCCAGCCGCCGGCGGGCAGCCTGCAGTGGGCTGCAGGGACTGGGCTCCCGCCTTCTGGTCGCTCGGGGTGTCACTGGGCCCAGGCAGGGGAAACAGGGCTGCGCTGGTGTCCCCACCCGCCCGCTTACAGACTTGCTGCTGCTTCCCGCATTGGCTGAGTCTTCTCTTCTGAGGCGCCGGGTTGTAGGTGGTCCCCTGGCTGGAGCTGACCGCTGCCGGGCCGCCTTCGTCGCCTGAGCTCAACGCAGCCTGAGCTCAGCGCTCATCCAGCCTCCCGCCGCCGCCGCGTGTAACGCCGCTGCAGCTACTTGGCCTCAACTGCCCGATTCTGCTCAGCTCCTTTCCGGAGATCAGGGGACAGGGCTGGAGAAGCAGGCTGGGTACTCTGGAGCTGGCGCTGCAAGAGCTGCTGTGGCTTAGGCTGTCGCCGACGCCACCGTCAACCCGGGACGTCCAGTGGCAGCCAAAAAGAGAGAAGAGGGGAGGAGGAGGAAAGCGAAGGGACAGGAAGAGGGCTTGAGGTTGGAGAGGCCCTTCTCTCGGTTTGGGATCAGGAGGTGAGGGCACGGGGAGCACTTGGGAGGCGGCTTGGAAAAGGAAGAGATTTGGAGTGAGTTGTGTCCCTTGAAATGTTAGGCGGGGAAAGAATTCCTCCTCCTCTTCCCCCACTTCGACCTGCAGAGCGAGAGGGGCAGAGAAAGTGCCTTGGGCAGTCGGAAAGTAAAGAGAGGATACGGAGATTCCAGCTGGATAGGGTCAGGCACCCAGCGCAAGCAAGGGACAGAGCAGTGGGTGGCACTGAGCCTCCTCGGGTGGAGGGAGCAGGCGGCAGCAGCACTGGACAGTCGGAGGGGGATGGGCCACTGGCTCCTGCGTCCTGCACCAAGCCCGCCTGCCGGGGTGGAGGTGTCCTACTTCCTGCCCCAGGATTCAAGTGGTTGGAGCGGTGCGCGCTTAGGGAAGGGGGGCGCCAGGGGTAGGGGAAGTACCCCCTACTACTCGTGGGCAGATAACGGGGAGGGGGCTGCGCAGGAAGAAAAGGAGGAGGAGCAGGGAGGCAAAGTGGACAGCCTGGCCAAGGCGCCTGGCTCCTGGCCGCGGCCCAGAGGCAGCGTCGAAATACGAGTGACTCAGCGAAGGCTGCCATAGCGCCCGGGTGCCACCCGGAGCCCAGTTCACTTGCTCCCGCCCAGCGGCGGGGTTAAAGGGATAGGCGGAGGATGCCGGGCCAGCTAGTCTGGGGCCTCGCCCCACCCGCCGCCCGAGGTCTCCCTGGGCAGTTGTCCTGGAAAGGTGTGGAAACGTGACTATTCCACAGCCACGTCTCCAGGATAGGCCTTTACCTGCATCTCCACGGCGCGGAGCCAGCACGTCCCAGGAAGGCTCTAGCTGCACCCGCGGCCGCGTTCTAGCTCTCTGGGAGTGGGAAGGGGCTGCAGAGGAGTAGGGACGGCCCTGACAGCCCCGCTCGGTCTCGGAACGCGCTCCCCACAGCCCGGGCGAGCGCGCACGCACACACAGACACCTGCTCGCAGATACGCACGCGTGTAAACACATGCACACTTACTGGCACAAAGATACACGTGCACACTCGCGAACACGGATGCACTCGCAAACGCACGCACATTTACCACACACACAGGCACGTGCAGTGTGCACAAACACGCACACGGAGCGCGCCAGCTTCAGTGAGCTGTTCCCCAGGTTGCAGTGCTAGCGGTGTAAAAGGGATCTAGCAGGTTCCTAACCCCACAACTGCACCAACTGCCCGACTTTCCCTACAATTCACCTCGGCTTAGCCTTCTCCCTAAGAACCCCCTTTCTGCCGAGTCCTGATGTTGCGGCCTGGACTGCTCCTGGGTTATGTGAACACCGTAATGGACACAGTCCCTTCTTCAAAGGCGCAGTTACATTTGAAAATGAACCTCTTTTCATCCCTGCGTAACATAAAACTCTGAAAAGTTAGGATCAGGTGTTCACACATGGCAACCAAAATATTCTGGACTAATTCCAAAACAAAGACTTTCCCCTGGGGATGAATTTTTTCCCAGGACACATACCGCGTGGAATGAACCCGCTCCTC